AGTAGTAGTAGTATACATGTCTGATAGTAGTAGTAGTATACATGTCTAGTAGTAGTAGTATACATGTCTGATAGTAGTAGTAGTAGTATACATGTCTAGTAGTAGTAGTATACATGTCTAGTAGTAGTAGTATACATGTCTGATAGTAGTAGTAGTATACATGTCTGATAGTAGTAGTAGTATACATGTCTGATAAAGGTGAAGCCAAAGTTTTACCACACATACATCATATTGTAAGTGCAGCACATTAGACTGCCGTAAGCCGACAAAATGTCTTTTTACATTTTGGCGCCAAATTTTCTTATTTGCTCTATCGAAAGCCTGATCAGTTACCCTACTTGTATGAAAAAATTTAAGTGAAACTGTCACTAGTTTTTAATAAATTAGATTTCAAATTTCAGAACAACTTTTTTTCAACAGTTATGCTGACAAAAACCCTCTTTTTCTCGAAACTGCTGTGAATAAAAAATGTCATTTTTTTAGCACTTAAGGGAGAGTTCTTTAACCACTACCAAAGACAAGAGATGAGGAAAAAAACCCAAAAAAACAAGCCCAAATGGTTGGGAGGGTGCGACCAATCAACTGACCCAGCCTCTGCCTCATCTTGTTCTGCTGCGCCTCCATCCGGTGCTTCTTTCTCTCTATCTCCTTCCTCTTCTGCTCCAACTTGAGACGAAGCTGAGACAGCTCCGGACTCGAACCCGCCACACCTCCTCCGACAACGTTGCTGCTGTTGTTGTCCGTGGCTGGGTCACTGGTGCTGCTGTTGTCGGGCAGCGCAGCCGTGGTGGGGGAGAGGACACCCGCCAACCGCCCTGCACACAGATAGACACACATAGATAGACGCAGGCGCCAGTTTGAGTTGGGGGTTTGGGTAAACAGGCAGATCCAGACACAAGAATAGACAGATAGTGCAGGGAGCAAGATAGAGAGAGACTAGAGAAGGAGGGGACAGAAGTAGGATCTACCAGTAGTGCCCTCCAACCACCCACAGAGACAAAAACTATAGAAGGAGGGGACAGAAGTAGGATCTACCAGTAGCGCCCTCCAACCACCCACAGAGACAAAAACTATAGAAGGAGGGTAAAGAAGTAGGACCAACCAGTGACACCCCCCAACCACCCATATAGACAGAAACTATAGAAGGAGGGTAAAGAAGTAGGACCAACCAGTGACACCCTCCAACCACCCACACACCATGACAACATTCTGGGTATATCCCTTAGTCAACAAAAGCACACCCACACAATAACGGCAGTAACTGCAGGGAAAAGAGCCAGTCGAAGACTTCAGTCAAACTTTCCACACGTACGTGTTTTTACGTCCCCATCAATGCATTTAGATCAGTTTTGTTTTTGTAAGAGTTTTACGGCACTTGCAACACAATAAGGTCATATAGGTGCCGAAGATTAGAGGTGTTACAAGAGAGTAACAAACACAAAAAAGAAGAAGAGATAAGGACGATAGATGTTTGATAGCACCTGCCAACCACCCACATACCTGGGAGTGAGCACACGCCAACCACCTACGTACCTGGGAGTGAGCACCCGCCAACCACCCACATACCTGGCTGTGAGCCCTGCAACTGTCCCTGGCTGGGCTTGAGGAAGAAGGGCGAGCGGTGGGTGTCTGCCGTGGCTTTGTCCTGGGGGCCTCCGTGCCCGCCACTCTGCATGTAGATCAGAGCAGAGTTATCCACCTTTGGGAGACGGAGAGAGAGGTTATCACACAGTTATCCACCTTTGGGAGATGGAGAGAGAGGTTATCACACAGTTATCTACCTTTGGGAGATGGAGAGAGAGGTTATAACAGTTATGTACCTTTGGGAGACGGAGAGAGAGATTATCACACAGTTATCTACCTTTGGGAGAGGGAGAGAGAGGTTATCACACAGTTATCTACCTTTGGGAGACGGAGAGAGAGGTTATCACACAGTTATCTACCTTTGGGAGACGGAGAGAGAGGTTATCACACAGTTATCTACCTTTGGGAGACGGAGAG